GTTGTATATAGAGTTAGTTTTAGTTCACTTTTTGTTGTGCTCATATTTAGACGTCCTATTTTGCAAATGCTGCCCTTTTGAAATTTGGTATGCTTGTTTGTCTTTGTGTCTATGGTGTATAATGATGTGATTGTGATGCTGTATTTCTGAGTGTTTTATGTGCTGCAGAACAGGAACCTGCTGTAAAACAGCAATTATGCTTAGTCAGGCTTGATTTTTAATAATCTTTTCCTGTTAAATAAATAAATCAAATCAAATCAATCAATAATTTCTATGCAAAGAAAAATTCTTTGTAACATGTTACTGAAAGTTTGGAACCATTGCGTTTAATGGCCACATAGTGACTCACCATGGCCGTTGTTAAGTTTGAGGTTGACGGGGTTGAAGTGAGATGCCATCGCCAGCAGGTTCTGCTGAAGGGCCTGCTGCATGAAGCGCTGCTGCTCCTCCGCAAACCGCATCATCTTCCGTTCCGGACCGTCGACTGCTGCTCCTCCTGCCGCTCCTCCTGCCGCTCGATCCAACCGCTCTCTGAGATGCTCCAACGTGGCAGCCTGTGCAAGCTGCTGGTGCTGCTGCTGGGGGTGCTGCTGGGGGTGCTGATGGTGGTGCTGATGGTGGTGCTGCTGGGGGTGCTGATGGTGGTGCTGGCCAAGAGCCAGAGCCACAGGCAGCCTGGGCATTATAGGGGTGGACGGCTCATCTGATTAAAAAGAAAAAAAAAGTTTAAAGAAATAAAAGTTTCACGCCTTTTCTCAACACAAAACTGCACCGTTAAAATAAGAAGTGGTGTTTTGGGGCTCACCCGTGTGTCTTTTTAAGTTGGGACTGGCGGATGTGTTCAAGCCGTTGTGCATGATGGGGGCAGCCTGCATCGGAGGGGAGGACAGGAGGCCGTGTGGAGCGGAGCCCGGGGACGGGGAGTAGCGGTAAAGGCTGGTGGTGTAGCTGGGACGTCGACCCTCTCGGCGGTTGCTATCAATGGCCGCCTGCAGCTCACCCGGAGAGCTCAGACCTTTCTTGTCACACTCAAACGGGTACAGGTACTTCATATACCTGTAGAAGGGAAAATAACGAGCAAATTCGAAAAACAGAACAGTGGGTTTCATTTAATGGACATTTTCAAGCTATTTACGTATTTAAAGTGTAACTTACCCCCCGTGAAAAGATAACTCTGCCCCAAGGCGAAATTTGAAAAATGCATCAAAGTGGGTAGGGGAGGGGGTGTGGGTAGAGGAAGGGGGGTTAGAGAGCGGAGGTGTGGCCAGGACAGAGAACGTGACAGGCAGCTAGCATTAGCATAATTGATGCTACATGGAAAGTGACCACAGTATCGCAGATAGTTACATCTCTGAACGTCTGAGGTGGAGGATTTTCACCCCACACCAGCCTCGGACAGAGGAGGAGGAGCGCTCCGACAGCCTGACAGAAAAAAATAAAAGCATATAGCTGCAGCTCACAAGATCGCTAGTTTAAATCAGGAATAAAAGTACACCCGCGGGGGTGGGGGGGGTGGGGGTGTCAGCTGCGGACATGAAAGCGCCTGCTGCGAAGCAGGAGGACAGGAGAGAGGAAAAAGTAACTTATTTCTAGTGGCAGAACAGGTTGGAAGA